ATCTATCTATCCATCCATCCATCCATCCATCCATCCATCCATCCATCCATCCATCCATCCATCCATCCATCCATCCATCCATCCATCCATCCATCCATCCATCCATCCATCCATCCATCCATCCATCCATCCATCCATCCATCCATCCATCCATCCATCCATCCATCCATCCATCCATCCATCCATCCATCCATCCATCCATCCATCCATCCATCCATCCATCCATCCATCTAACCATCCATCCATCCATCCATCCATCCATGGCCATATATTCTATAAACTACCATTCAAAATTTCAGGGAAATTAATAATTTTATTTAAATTGATCAGGTTGTACATTGTTACAAACATGTCTATTTCAAATAAATGCTGTAAAGGAAAAACAAAATCAAAGAATTGCATCACGTTTCCACAAAAACATATATGAAGCAGCACAAATGTTTTTATTAATAATAATCAGAAATGTTTCTCGAGCAGCAAAGCAGCATATTAGAATGATTTCTGAAGATCATGTGACACTGAAGACTGGAGTAATGATGCTGAAAATACAGCTTTGATCACAGATATATTCACATGGGAAACGGTTCTTTTAAATTGAAACAATATTTCAAAATAGAATTTTTACAGTATTTTTTGTCTAATAAATTTATCCTTGGTGAGCATAAGAGACTCAAAACATTTTTAAAAATATTACTATAAAATATTACTATTGAATGGTTGTATATATACTAGTGTTGTCAAACGGTTAACCGCGATTAATCGCATCCAAAATAAAAGTTTTTGTTTACATAATATATGTATGTGTACTGTGTTTATTTATTATGTTTATATAAATAAACACACATACATACAGTATATATTTTGAAAACATTTACATGTATATACATTTATATATTTATATTATTATATTTTATATAACTATTTAAAATAAAAACATAACATATTTTTCTTAAATATATACATGCATGTGTTTTTATTTATATATACATAAACATACACAGTACACACATATATTATGTAAACAAAAACTTTTATTTTGGATGAGATTAATCGCGATTAATCGTTTGACAGCACTAATACATACTTTTTTTTTTGCATTCTAACACCATTCGTTATTGCCCTCCCTACATTTCAAATTCATCTGATTTCATTCACAGCTTGGCAGGCTGGTAAAAAAACAGATTCTTCACATAAATATGCCAAAAACTCAGCGCTCACCTCAGAGACCCCGACTGGGGCAGAGGAAATAGTGCAACGACTGAAAGCAAGTGACAGAGACACAAATACAGATAAAGAATGCGAAAGGGATTGAAAAAAAAGAGCAATGACTTCAGCGAGCTCTGCCATCTGTAGAAGCCATTAGGACGGTCACTCTCATAACGCCGAAACAGATGAGATGTCTGGGCTTCTGCTATCGAGTGGGAAAGAACTGTGCAGCTCCGGTGATGAAAACCAGTGGTGATCGGCATCGTTGTCACCTCTCTCAATCCCTCACGTGCTAATGGCCCCCTCATTTCAATCAATGTGTCTTCTTATTGATTGCGGTTAGAAAGTGGAGACATCATAAATGTAGCCATTCCTGTGCTTTTTATTGTGCAATAAAAGCGGTAATATATTCTGGGGGAGGGGGGGGGGGAGAAACGTTCAACTTCAAGAGTTCTTAATGAAACATCAAAAAGTTTGAGGTGTACTTGAGGTTTCTCCAGACCGGATTGTACCAAACACCCTCACGTACCCTCAGGACAGCTGAGCGGAAACAGAGACAGCGATGGAGTGGCCTATTCTGTGGGCAGTTTTCCCAGGAGAAGCCCATTAATATTCCAAAGAGATGGCGTGCAGGGAATCTCTCTCCTCCGAGCCCAATGGGTGGTCCTTTCAAATGCAAAATAAGAACACAAAATAAGGATGAATCTGGCAACTTTCCACTTCACTAACAAAGCAAGCATGAAAAATTTAAAGCATAAAATGAAAAAACGCCACACACATACATGACCAAAGCAGGTGGACTGCACTATCAAGTGTGATATTTCTGTGAGAAAATACAGAATTTGAGTAAGTTAAGCTGGTTTTTACAATATAATGATGCATGATTCACTGGATCATTGCAGAAACACCCACTGAATTACAAAGTAGGGAGAGCCAGGAAACTGCAACACTTTATGGTTTTGTTCATTTATTCTTTTATTTTGTTATTCTGTTCAGTAAAGTTTGCCTCAAAAGTCATATCAGCTGTCATTACCAATGCCATCTTAATTTAATAGTCTTATTTAAATAACTTAATTGAATCTGATACTATATGCAACTTGTGAAGAAGGGATTTTGAAAAAATATACATTGTAGTAATTTAATAAAAAATAAATTACAGCACTAAACTAAAAAAAAAATAATAAAAAAAATAAAAAAATAAAAAACATGATTTTTTCTTAAAGATATACTAATA